GTGTGTGTGTGTGTGTGTGTGTGTGTGTGTGTGTGTGTGTGTGTGTGGGGGTGTGTGTGTACTGAAAGGACACTTTAAAAAAAGGTGTTGGGCACAGAGAGGTGAAGACAAACACATACTGGCCGAGCTTCAGTGGTCCCACGCTTCTGTCGGGTCATCGGTTCAACGTTCGATCACAATGTCTCATCCTACCTCTCAACCAGAGTCTCAGTATCAGTATCCATGTCAGTCAGCAAGTAAATGTCTGTGTGCCGTGACAGCCGCATCTGAAAGAGAGAGAGAGAGAGAGAAGAGATGGAGGTCAGTGAGGAGAGAGGTGCACATAAATGGTTAATCCAACACATAAATCAGCTAAACATTATTTTACCATTCATGAGGACAAAAAGACAATTTTTCATATGAATTTGCCATGATTTGTATTGTTATGTAATTAAGAAAATACTCCCCCATTCTGCTTACATGAAGAAAACACACACACACACACACACACACACACACACACACACACAGCTACTTGCTAGCTTCACACGTTGTGTTTATAATGACCTGTAAAAAGCATCCGTGTTACTGCAGCTCTCTTTATATTACTCTACATATACACTAGCTTTATTCTTTTTTCCAGGGAATATAAACCTAGAGAGTGCAGATACACAGAATAACAAGTGGTTTACTGTTTTGCAATTTAAAATAAATATGTAAAATTAAATATATAATAATAAGAAAACATCACAATCAATGCTATGTTTTGATCAGTGGTAAATATGAGGCAATCAGGTGACAATTTGATTTTGATTATTTTAGAATTACAGAAGGGGCTCACCTTGGGTCAAAGTGATACTCTTCCAAAATCAACTTTCCTCATTTAATCCTGGAAAGTCCTGCAAAAGAGCATTTCTATTGCCTGCCAAGATCTTCTACAACAAAAGTATTTGGCCCTTTGACCCTTTAATTATTACTATATACTTAGCAGGTTGTACAATAAAGCAAGTTATCAAGTTTCGTACTTTATTTACTACATTAACATCTTATCATGAAACTGCCTCAAAATTCTTTAATTATCTTGTTTGTTTTTTTCAAATACAAGGTTTGACTACCTCATAATATACTAAACATTATTCATTTATTAATATTATATGATTCAGACTGTTAGTTTTTTCAGTTAAAAGAGATAACTCATGAATCGTTCTTTAGACATTCAGACAGAAGACGCCAACAAATGTCCATATATCCATTATTTCCTGTTTATTTTGAACACATGGGATACTTTATCCAGTAGAAAGGACAGACGCTTATTCATTCAATCCCAAAGAGCAGAAATGAGTGATAACTTCAGTAAACACATCAACGTTTTCCCTGTGACAGTTCAAATGTGCGTGTGCCATGCTTTTCTTTAGTCAGGGAGGTATTGATACGACACTGTATGAAGTAACAGTCGCCTGAAAACCACGAGAGAAACTTCATGAAAGCTTTTGAGAACTCTGAACCAGAGAGCTGCCTCTGATCCACCACACTAAAAGGTGAACTTCTAATACGAGAACCTGAGATCTTTCCTGTGATCTCTGAATTAGTTTATTAAATGTGTCTACTGTATTAACCTTTATTTCGACCTGCAAGCAGGTCTGCAGTCCAGCGGACTTGTGTGAAAAATCTGCAGCGTATATTAACAGTAGTTTTATTGTCAGTAGAAAGAAACAGACATACATTTTAAAAATAAACTGACTATGTTGAGAAGGGAGATCAAACAAACACTTCTGAAGTCAAACGGAACAAAACTTTTTCAGTCACATCAGGAGGTCTTCAATGAATTAGAGAGCTGAGCACACTGTAGCTTCATCAACAGATGCACCAGAATTAGCAAAAACTATTTCCGATACTTAGATGAATCTGTGCGGCCTTTATTTTATTCTGAGCTATGGTGTTTTTGATGTGTAATTCACAAAATGACTGGTTTCGATGGTCTAAAAATAGATTACAGATTGTAAAACCCTCTGAGACAAACTCAGGATTTTGGGCTATATAAGTAATCTTGTCCTTGTTTTGACTTTTTTTCTACTTTTGTTTCCAGTTCTCCTTTAAACACAGCTTTGTCATGACAATCACAACAGTTACCACAAGAGTATTTTCAAGCTACCACATAAGGAGTTCATTTCCTTCTCTGCAAAGCAGTTTAAAAAAGTCACAACGTTATCGTTCAGAAATGATAAACTATGTATTGCAATGTGACATATTTATACTACAATATGCATCTATGAAACTTTACCCACAGGCAAACAACACTGAATAAAATGTGGAGTAGAGGTTTATCACGGTTTCACTAAAGGAAATAAAAACAAACAAATCAACACTTCTATGGATTATTCTTTGCACATGGCTACAAACGTAACTTCACTCACACACAATATTTCACTAATAAGCTCACTTCAGTATGTTGATGAACCCGAGTCGCTGGCATCCTGATTATTTAGGCACTAAAAGAGGACGAGGCTGCAGTCATATTAAGCTTCACTTGCTTAAATGAAGTCTGTTAACTAGTGTCAACTAATATTTCCAGGTCAAAGTGCAAATTAATTTCATAAACCAGCTGGGTTCACATTCACATCACATTAACGCAGATACGGAAGTCTGGACTTCGGCAGAACAAAGAGAGGACTGGGACATGACAAATACAGCACATGCATAATGTATGCACAATACTGAAACTTGCCACTTTAGCTTCTTTGAAATGTTAGACAGCAATCAGTTTACAACAACACCAAAAGGTAGTTTTCCACAGAGTTAGGGCTGGATATCATTTGGTGATTTTTCATACAGATAGTAAGATTAACAGGACTTTCTGGTGAATTACATGACAATTGTATTCTGTTAAAAATCTGAATGGATAATTGACTTGTTAGACGCAAAAATACAGTGATTAAAACTGCTACAGAGGCGGTACACTGAAATGAGTTAGTATGAGGGTGTTGAGGTAGACTGATAGGAGATCATAACAGAATGAGCATCGTCTCCTTCCACCAGGACACGGGGATGTTATCAAGGTGAGAGGGCTCATGGAGAGCAGAGTGCTTGATGCTGCTAGCATTAGTGTGTGTCTCAGGGAACACCGGAAAGAATCAGAAAGAAAAAGATTCAAAAGACTACTACTTTAGGTAGATACTTAGGTCAGCTGTATGATAACAATAACAGTAAATAACAATATGAAAGAAATCAAACAGTTAAAATGAGTATAGAGCTCAACAGCACAGAAGAAATGTGGGATCTTTTATATCTTTCTGTGCTGCTGTGCTTCTTCCACACTCAAGCTCACGTTAACCAACCTGTGGTCTTGTTGGATTATGTCTAATATCAAGAACTTTTAACTGATGTCCTCCATCGTCCTCCTCACGACGACCAAAGTATGTTCATTCAGTGTTTTTACAAAGAGGCGGTGACAATACAAGCTCAACTGCTAGTTTTTCTAGTCCAGCTGATTTTCGATAAAAATTGTGGAAAATCTTTTTTAGAGATACAGATGATTGTTGTATAAACCACTCGTGTCACAGTATGTCGCTTTCTAAGCAGAGGTGGATATAGTTGTTCCACAATTATTGATTTGCCAATGATTTGTATTTGCTCAGAAGTCTTTTCAAGCATCCAACAATGGCCTTGAATTTTCTTTGCTGTTGTACCATCAGTTTGGTTTATTGGGTACCTAGAGATGGCACCAAATTCTGATACCCAGCCCTACACAACATAAACATGTGACATTAGCAGAAAAAGGTGCTTTCATCATTCTACATTATCTAGAAAAGTATTGGTTGTGTACAGGGCTCAGAGTCTCCAAGAGGAAAGAGGAATGCTGGTGGTTACTGTCCAGTTCAGCTCTAGGAGTTGTACTCAGACGGCTCCTCTATGAACACAGCAGGTTGATTGCTTACCCTGCTGCCAAAGTCCAGCCACGAAACCCCCAAAGAAACCAAACAGTGCCACGCCTGTGAACGACAGAGGAGAGAGAAGTCAGGACACAGCCAGGTTTGTGCACACTTTTTTCCAGTGGTTAGTGTACTATAAATATAAATACATCTTTTGTGCAGCAAGATCAATACATCCATAGACAGCCTGAAGTTATTTAAGATTAATTTAAATATAGGAACCAGTTTATAGTACTATAGTTCATTGTCTGCATTAAAAAGGTTAAAAATGTCAAATTACTAAAGCTAAAAATTGTCTGAGATAATGAATGAATGTAAAGTAATCTGACTCACCAGGTAGCCTACAAAGCACAGATATGCTATGGAGAGCAGCGCAGAGAGAACGTAGAGCAGCACGCTGTTCAGCGCCGTCACGTAAACCACAACAAAGTACATGTTGATTGCACAAACCACCAGGATAACGACGCCTCCGGAAATCTTCCACACCCTAAAGAAACAGGCAGTATATTTAATACAAATTCAAATGTACAGTCTCCTGGAAATACTTTATTCTGACAGTAAAACTACTGCGTAAATTCTGTCTACAAACAACATTGGATAGTCTTTTCTTAAACAGCTAAATTATTGGCCCATATGTCAGAAAAAGGAGGAACATTCGGTAAACATCAGTTAAAAAAACGAGCTTGAGCAAACAAGTTGCATTTTATTCGTCAATGAAATACTAAACGCAGACCTCACCACAACAAATATACCAGCTGGCTGTCAAACTGAAAGAGATCACGTCTTTGATCCTAAGACACAGCCTGAACATACAGTCATGAATTAATGATGAAAATAAACGTATAGATTTCACTCACATTCCGTTTGCAAAGTCGTTCATTATGGATGTCAGACTGGTGAAGGTCAGAATCGGGATCAAAGCAAATGGAAGCTGTTGAACAGAAAGAAAAGGCACAGTGAATATTTCTACAGTAGTATGCGCTACACAATGGGACCGAGTAAGAGTAGGTGAATGTTAAAGGTGTTTTTGACTGAATGAATAGGGAGGGCTTTCTAAAGGATTTTCTCCTGACCTGCATGCTTTGAAGCACGTTGAGGAAGTCGTTCATCCCCGTCAGATGCTCAACGTCCTGAAAAATGGCGACCAGCAGTGTAGGTGTGATGGCGATGGAGCGGGTCAGCAGCACACGTGCAAAACGAGACCATCGAAGGTTCAGGAAGCCCTTTGCAAATACAAAAACATGAGCATACACACTCTTTTTTTAACCCACGTCCTGCTATATAACCAATAGGCACTCTTACCTCCATGACAAACTGCCCCGAGTAAGTGCCTGTCATGGTGGAACTCTGTCCAGCTGCCAGGATCCCGATCGCCCAGATGTAGAGGGCTGCAGGGCCAAAGAAACAGCCCAGGACCACTCCCTGAACACACAGACAAACCCACGGAGAAAGAAAGGAACAATCATACATCCATCATCACTTAAAAGAGACGGAGACTCTGCTCTTAGTTTTACATATTGCATCGTTATCATTCTAACGATTTTTGAGCATGTCATAACAGAACACGGAGTAGTGTAACTAATACTATTGCTAACAACTGCCTTCCCTTTAGGTGACCCACCTCCAGTGTCTTGATATTGTGTAAGTTAGGTTAACAGAGGCATAGCTTATAATCATTAATGTTATTAGCTGCACCTGTTTGCTGTGACAACACTCACCTGTGCTGCGTCCCAAATTGATACCATACAATATGTGTACTACACTAATTGTCAATTGTAGTGTGTACTAACAAGCAACAAAAACAAAACACTACACAGAATAGTATACAACATAAACTATATACAATTAGTATTATTAGTCATAGAAAGGTCGACAAGTAAATGCAATGTGTCCCTTTTCTGTGTCCCTATTATACAAATAGTATAGAATTTGTACTATATACTAAAATAAATGTGCCGTGTCGTAATTTGGATACTTCTGTTTGTACACTTCCATGTAGTACACTGTGTACAGTACACTATGTACTTACTTGCGGGTACTCATAATGCACAGTCAGTGTGATCACGCTCATGCACTCAAAATAGCAAGTATAGGTACGGAAGAGTGCAAATTGAGACACAGCAATGATGTTTTTCGACTAACAGGAAGTGATGTAATATGTCCTCTAACGTCACTACAGCTGTGATTCATTGTAGTTGTGGTGATGACCAAACGTACCCCTTTGTAGATGTCCACCTGCAGTGTGTCGTTGTTGAGAGGGAAGAGATCGGTGTGAGGGCTGCCGGTTGCATTGCACTGACTATTCTGCAACCAGGAACACAAACACACGTTAAGCCACAACTTGAGGCTCTGGACGCTTTGTGTCAACAGTACGAATCAGAAAACATTCATTACACATGTGTTTCAGCATCAGCAGTAAAGAGAGTAGGATTCTTAATACTGTACACCAACCATTTCAATATTGGTTTTGTTGAAGAAGGCCTGAGCAAAGACCGCTACGACAAAGACGTTGATGAGAAAGGAGATGAAGAGAGCAACAGTTGACTCGATGAAGTAGTACTTGTTGGCTTCCTTTACTTCATTCTTATTTTTGCGATCGATGTCCCGAGACTGGTAGATAAGGAAATAAACAGAATAACACTCAACGTTCATCAAAAATGTGCATTAAGAATGTTTTTAAATGGCATTGATACTGCTGAGCTTATGGTATAATTTATACTGCGTGTCAAACACTGACAAATATGATACAAGATTTCTAACTTCTATAAGAAATATTCATGAGACAGCTTATCAGTTTATCAAAACTAAAAAAAAAAAATGTCAATGTAAACTCTAGAATCTAAAAATCTTTTTGGGATTGTGTCAAGTTCTAACTATGTTGGAACAACTCTTCACTGACCTGTATGATTCAAGCTTACTTCTAACTAGACAGATCCACGTTTCTCTGGATAAAACAAATATTCCTCTAACCTTGACCAGCGCTGAGTGCAGGTAGATGTTGTGGGGCATGATGACCGCTCCCACGATTCCCACTGCCTGCTCCAGCTGCACAGGCCCACAGTCGGCACAGTAAGGTACGAACATCCCCTTCAGCAGCTCCGCTTGGTTTGGCTTGACCATCACATACTACAGAGAAAACACAGTCAAACATGTCATGGTGCCATGAACGTTGTGGCAAAAACCCTATCGGCTGTCAAGGAATACTTATTATTAATTATATTGGAAACTGTGAGGGAGTATTACCTCGTAACCAAAGCTCAGAGCCATTACGGTGATGAGAAAGCCAAAGAAAGCTTCAAGTTTCCTCAGGCCTGTGAGTAGATGAAAACTGTATCAACACTGGGATGCACAGCTTTCTTAAACATTGATTGACAAGTAAAAGATGGTGGATCCATACCGTATTTGTCGAGAAAGAGGAACACGAATGTGTCTGTGATGGTGATGAGGACTCCTCCCCAAAGTGGAATCCTGAAGGAGAAAGAGAGGAACTACAGTAACTCCTCACATCTCTTTAAATGTTTGCAGTCACTTTCCATGGACAAGCGGTGAAGACGGTACCTGCCCACAGACAGAAGGTTGAGCGCTATGGCACAGCCAATGACCTCCTGCATGTCTGAGCCAATGATTGCCAGCTCAACCATCAGCCACAGGATGACCCGAGGAACCTGAAAAAGAAAAAAGATTGAAGACACTGTCAGAGAGTAGCTGAGCAGAGTTTATTCGTCTCTTTACAAACTGAAACTTTACTGACTCTGATATATCCTACATGTTGGCTTCTCATCATTTGACAAAATGTAGGAGTATGAAAATCAAATGGGCTGTTATTGACATTCTTATCTTACATATACAGTGCCATGCATAAAGAAAGAAGAAAAGGGAAGTTGAGATATGTGAACGCTCACAGTTGGATATTGGCGGTTGCAGACTTCAGCCAGGTGCATCCCAGTGACGACCCCGAGGCGAGCGGCTAACCTCTGCAGCAGCAGCCCAATGATGGTGGCTCCGAGCAGAATCCATAGGAGCTGAGACAGAGAGGTACACATCAGTACAATATGGGAGCTTTACTTCAGCAGATAAAATGAAAGTAGCTGCACTGCATACATTTTGGTCTCCGTTATGCTCTAAAGCTGACATTTAAAACTGGTAATTCTTTTTAATAATACAATGAATATATTTATGATGCTTAGAGAAATATACAGCAGCTCATTATGTGTCACTGCAAGCTGCATTGAGCAAGACACAGACAACACGATACAACCAAAGGGCATTTTTACCATCAAAATAAAAATAATGACACTTTTAGGAAAAACTGGAGAAGATATATATCGGTGTGAAGAGAACAAGAAAAAGCTGTGAAATCACTGCTTCAAATATGGAATAGAAAAAGCTCAAAAAGACACCAACAAAGATATAACTGTATAATGGTTCATAGTCATTACCAAGCAAAGTAAACATGTTTTGTTTGGATGTAGTGTTATATTTCACCTTAAAGCCAGCTTTAGCTCCAGACTGCAGGTCAGACTCGATGTTTCCTGGATCCAAGTAAGCAATGCTCATCAAAAAACCTGGTCCAGTGAACGCCCAGAGTTTACGGAAACTGAACACCTGAACGGACAAACAGCATGATTCATTTGATTAATCTGGAATAAAATAAAATGTGTTTTGCTTCTCAAAATCTAACAAATCTAATGAACTGTAATGGGTCAAATAATTCAAATGGATAATCACAGCTACATGTATGTGATTACATATGAACCGACATTTCAACTCCACTTATCTTCTATGAAACAGCGGCTGTGAGACAGTACCTGGCTGACATTGTCAGGAATGGCCACCTTGTCTTCAAAGTATGTGGAGAAAGGTTCGTCCTGGGCCACCGGGGAGGCAGGAGGAGAGATGGAGCTGTACTGGTTTGTCTGGACTCCATTCTCCGGAGGGGAGTCCTCCTCTAACAAAACCACAGAGAGGAAAGATTCAAATGAGTTGTGAGAGAAGAGGAAGAGGAAGAAGTTATGCTTCGCTGGAAAACTAACACGTCATCCCATCAGTTGCCAAACGCCGATACAGTCTCTCAGCAACTCTGATGCCATTATTAAAAATCTGATTAGTTATATAAATATATAATATATATAAATACATAAATAAAGAATAATTTCCAGACCTCTGCTGTGCTTTAAGACTTTTGCAACATTTGTGTCACTTGATGCTTTTCTACAAATCCTCAAACACTCACACACTTTTCTTCTGACACCGTTAATATTTAGTTATAAACAAAAGTTGGATTTGACAAAACAAGATTCTTCTCATGTTTGAACAGAGATACAGCAGATACGCAAAGACTATCAACAACTCTGCCATTCAAAAATAAACCAAACCAGACATTTCAAGCTTTATTCATGAATTTACAAAGCACAAATGAAAGCTTTATGAATTCTTTACGTTGGGAAGTGTTTAAACCGGTCTCTCAGACTTGTCTGTACAGGAGCTTTCGTGAATACACTTAAAGATTAAGCCATTTGTGGCAGTTTAATGACCAGAAGCAACCACGGTGAAAACCTCGCTGCTAAAAGCAATTCAACCTCAGTTTCAAGACGGTTACATAAGTGATTCAGTTTAAGACATGTGTGCACTCAGTAGTACAGTAATAACCTGCAATTAGGTCCACTTTAAAGAAACATGTTTTATGAGACCACAATGAAAGGAAATACAAAAGATCATCAACATATCTGATCAATGATACCAGTAAACAATGTGTACTACTCACTGAGTTTAGAGTTTTCGTTCCCTTCCTTCATTTCCAACTCACTGCTGGTCCCAAAGTCCACTGTTCCCTAACAGTGACTCTGCTTTTATGTGACTCAGCCTTAATCAACCCTGTTTGTGTCATTAGATGTCACAACGACATTCTGGCATCGCGTTTCTAACTCTAACCCGCAAATAGAGAAGAGCAAAAAACGCACACCTCGACACAAACTGGTGCTCGGGGGGGTTGCAGAGTTGTGACTTTTACCCTTTAACGATTCACACAGCATCACACAAGCAGTGATAAAGTTCACAAAAGAAGCAATGACAATTAATAGCACTTAGATTCTCAAATAATTCCAGAGAATGAAGACAATAAATCTTCCTTTTTGGGAATATGTTGCCAGAGTAGGAATTTTCCAACGTTAAACCACAGCGCTGTGGTTACATTTCAGAGAAAATGTATGTTTAATATTGTTTTACAACTGCTCCGTCGGCATGCACACTGACACAGGATAATGTATAACAGCCTTAACCAAAAGCCAAGAGTGTTTTAACGTTGCAGAACATGGCAGGTGTGTCTGTAATGCGATGATCATGTTTCTGTTATCTTAAGCAGTTACCTTCGAGGAGGTCTCCTTCTTGCTCGGCCTTCATCAGAGAAGGCTGAGGGATCCCTGGGAACTTGAGGGATGAATTTCAGCCTCCTTGGAATAAGACAACAAAAGTTACACAATATGAATTTAGCATGAAAGACGTGAATGTTGAGGGTAAAACAGTAATTATCTGGAAAGTGACGCTTTGCTTTCTGAAACAAACAAGCATTGAGCTAAAAAAGACAATAAGCAACTTAAACAAGAGACACGAGTGATGACTGTGCGAGATTTTGTCGTCCTTTCCCCTAAAAACAACATTAAAATTCACGAGTCATAAAAATGACTCAGCAACATTAACAGCGTGTGAAAGGTCAGTAAATGAACGAGAACCTTGAACAAGAAACCTTGAGTCTCTGGCGACGGAGTTTCACTTCTACCACATACATCCTTCCTCTCACACTCAGCTTCAGAACAACATTAGTACTTCTTGAATTTACCACCCAAAAGATGAAATGGATTCCAGCCGGAGAACTGTACTTTATAACACCGTGTTCTGTGAGAGAGAGCGTAGGCCCTCAGAGAGCACATGACTAAGGATCATATGAGGCTGCAGACAGAGCAGCTTTCCCAACAGTCAAAGTTTCCTTCAGTGTCACTTCCTTTAGTGCACAACTGAACATTGTGCTCTGAATAATTGGCATTATCAAAGTCATAAGGTCCAACAAATGATTAGAATTTGAGCAATATCAGTTATGAGCAAAATGTGAGTTGTTTCTTGTACAATATACCCCAAAATATCATTTAAAAATTATCTTTTTTTCCACAAGGCAGGAATATACCGATTTTAAAAAGAGAAAAAAGTTAATACAGTGATCTGTACGACTCTACTAAACCAAAAAAGTATACATTTTCACATCTCATGAAACTTTCTGTGCTCCATCTTTAAGGTTTAGACGGAAATATTTTGGTTCCGGGTTCAGAGTGATATTTATGTCATAGCTCTACGACTTGTGTTGAAACGCTTCTTATTTAGAGGCAGCTTGCTGAATATTAAATCTTTTACAAACATTTTGTTCAAATTTTGGTACCCTGTTTTAAAATGTAATACTCCACAAAAAAAAGTTTAAATTTAACAGTAACCTTTAAGCATGTCAAGGGGGACCTTATGAAATTGTCTTGGGGGCCGGATAAAGCCCGTTAGATATTACTAGTCCGCAGGACACTTCAGTTTTCTGCATGTCTTAAGACAGACGGCTTACTTGTCATGTGTGCTCATGTGACTGCGGTCAGCCGTCACAGTTAGTTAGTGAACACACTAGAAAGAGTACAAAATGAGTTTTTAAATACTGCAATATTGTGTTCACTAATAGTAGCTCATAAAGACATGATGTGCTCATGATGTGACAATAACAAACCAGCTATCATCCTAAACTAGAACAAATTGTCCTGCAGCTAAATACCGCTGAGATTTTAGCAGGCACACATGATGATGGAGGGTCCTTCTGGTCTTGCTCTTATCATTTTTCTCAAACTTAATCAAGTCCAAACAACTGTCCTTAATCTCCAAACAACCTTGTGTCTCACATACCACCATAACGTAAACTACTCCTCCCTGTAAACACACCCCTCTAATAACAGTTTATTCAGTCAGCCTTGACACTCTGTTGCAGGTTTGCCTGATGAATCTCTGATCCATAAAAACAGAGCTGTTTATTTAGACTACAAAAGGAGATTTCCACCACCACCTCACTAGTATGAACACCAACAGAGGAACAATTACTTGGCTTTATTTATTTATATTCCACTATTGTGCTTATCTATGCTACTTGTGACTCCTAGCAGTCCAGTCCTTGATTTTGTAACTGCCTTTTAATGTGTCAGCACTAATCTTGTAAAACTCCATGGGCAACCCTGTGCATGTGGTGATAAAAGAGATTTAGACAAAGTTTTCCAGCAGCTAAGAGTTTGGTAAAACTCTTATTTAATGACAGCACCAGCACCATGAAGTTCAGGCATTAAAACATATTTCATCAACTGCAGGATTCCTTTTGACTTTACCAAATGTTGTAAAGTTGGATTGGCCAATGATGAAGTCCTCGTAAAAAACTACTATATTTCGTCATCCATTCATCTGACTTCCCCAAAAGGCCAGGGCCTCATGGAACATCAAAAGGGGCCTAATCTGCACTGAACAGCTTTAATAATCACTAAATCTATGACAACTCCCAAACTGGCACATGATCTCTAATGTTACAGCCCTCCAATTATGGCCCTTTGCAGGCTTAAAAACTAAACACTGTAACAATAAAGTAAAAATCAAAGAAAACAGATTCTAAATGTTAACCAAGAATCCCACATTACAAACTAGAATTTCTTCCTGAATTAATAATAACACATTAGCTCATGTTTTTGTCTGTGACAACTCAGTACAAACATTCTTACTAATACTTAAAAACTGGTCCATCAAGAACATACACACACACACGCACACAGTACTAACAAATGAACCATAATGTGTTCACATAGAGCCGTGAGCTTGCTGTGTTGCCTGAAGTGATTGGTTTCAAATGTCCAAATGCAAATAATGAGCCATACTGATGCTTGAAATGATGTTAAAGTAAAATTCAATATGCATTTTGGGTTGCACCAATCACACTTTCCTTTCCTACTGTCAAGTGGCATATTTATCATGAGTTATTTTGTTTAAAACTGACTTTACAGTCAGACAGTCAACCTGTTCAGGCAGATTCAAGGTATGTGAGGGGTGGTTATAAACACATTGTGTAAAACACAATTATTAATGTAAACACTGTACAGTCTTTCAAGGTCCAGTAATTATTACTGTAAAGAAAACCTTATCCTAGAATTAAACTAACCTGTAATTTCTGGAATACCGTAGTATACTGTAGTTTTGAATGGTGAATCTGAACAACTGTAATGATGACGACGATGATCAAATCATCTTTGCTAATAGATCAGATGATAACGTCATCGATATTCAGGGTGATGCTCTGATTTCCAGCTTTGACACGTGAAACAAAAACGTTGTTATTTACTGCTCTCGATGACTGGAATGAATCACAGAATAAATTCTGTTTGAGGCTGGGGTTTTGTTTTGCCTTTAAGAGCAACACACCGGTGTAATTATCAGAATGCAGTTTGACAGAAGTCAATGCTGAAACAGTGTCAATGAATTTAACTTGGAAACGTTAGTTAGGAGCTAAACAACCACAACTGGGAATGTTTGACCTCTCGTCCTGATAGCTACATGGTGATGTGAGTTCAACTAACTCGCTTAAAAATAAACATGCCCGCTAATCAACCCTGTAGCTGAACCAGAGCAGCCTCCATCACCTTCAAACCAAACAACTCGACGATAGAAACCCGGCTGCACAAACACCTACTCAGACGATCTAACGTTAACTGTTACTATGTTAGTGGGATCAAGCTAACAAGTTCCCATGGTATGTTAGTTAGCTGTCTGGTTGGATCAGCTAACCCTTATCAAAGTATGAAAACGCCCTTACCTGGGTATACTTTATGGGAGGGTTGTGTTTTGACGATTAAATCTGCTTTTAAACTGACACCATGTGTGTAAATTTGAAGGTAGCTAAGTAGCACATTGTCAAGCTAAATCCTGGCAAAGTCGTATATTTCCATGTCAACTGTAAGTTCAAGAAAACTCAATGCGCATGTGCACTATTACAACGGCTCTGATTGGTCAATGAGTTTTGATCTATCAAGATTTTGCCCTACGTTTGTACTGCCAGGTGCTACTGACGGTCTTTCTCTCAAAGTCAGTGAACAATACAAATTGTACTATTTCAAATTAAACAGCGTAGGCCTACTTAGATAGCGGTACTTTACACCACTGGCTCTAACCATATACTTTATTAAATTATTGTTGCCATGACCACAACTTGTCCGTTGGAGCACGGGTCCATATTTTTATGAATGAATACAGGCTTGTACATGTATGAGGAGGAAATGTTGCCAGGTTCACAATAAAGTAACATATAGATTGATTTAATAAACATATGACTTAAAAAACAACAACCGTAAAACCATACTAATATTCAGAAAATATCATATACACGGACACATACTTGGCAACGTAAATGCGTCCAAATCACGTTTCTTTAACTTTCTCTCTCGCGATATTCTGCCAGCTACACATCACATATCAGCAGCTAACTAAGCTAAAGCTAGGCTAACTAGCTGCTACACAGTGACATGTAGTCAACTTTACACTCAGTTTCAATGAGGGAGCTTCCAGAGTGATTAGGACATGGAGTTAAGAAAGATCAAGGACCAGGTAGTAAATAAAACTTAACGGTTGAACTCACAGTACTTTTTTTTAGGACTGCTGGCTAGTCATGTTTGCGACATGTCGAGCAAAGTTTGCTACAAGGCTAACGTTAGTTAATGTTGCAGATTATTCGCCATGTAAAACTAGAAGTTTGAGTTGGATGTTGGATGTTTAAATGTTGTGATTCGCCTCCCTGGTACACGGAGTCCAAACCCTTCCAAACTTTTTGATCTTTACATGGATCCACATTCCTCTTCTGTATGCCTTTGATTTACGTTATATGTTAATCACAAAGCTTGCAAAGTCATTGCAACATTTTCTAAGTATCCAGAAAGTGCAGGACCTTTGCGTGACGCAAACGAATAACGTTCTTTAGTCAAATAAATGCTAATTCAATATAAATGCTTTAAATTGAACGTGATGTCCTTATCTTTACCGAAGCAGGTTGCATCATTACAAGCAAAATATTGTTCTCAAGACAATATTATACAAAAATCTCACATTTTTAATGCTCAAAGCTTAGTACACAGGACAAGTGTTGGGTTTAAATGTGCAGCAACAGAGAAGGACCGGTCTGAGTTGTTCTCTCTCTTTATACTTTAGCCTGGTCATACCTTCTCTGGTTGCTTCTTTTAGTTAGGAACTTGCATGTCTTCCCCACATCCATGTAGGAAACAAATCCTTAGTTTAGGTAATCAGGCCAGGATTCATTCAGTCAAAGGTAACATGATCAGACTCAGCATTATCAAACATAGGCAAAGTTAGCATGATAACATTGTGCATGATCAGAGGCGTTTCCCTTACTCTTTACTCATGTAACATTCTTTTGGCATCTCAGAAATGCGTGACTGTATTTATGATCCCAGTGGGTTTTTAAACAAGTTTTCTGATGAAAGCTGTTCAGTTGAAACTGTTTAATCGCTGCTTCTAAGGGTTTTGATGCTGTGTGCAAAACTATTTATCACAGAAAACATAATGACCTGAATCAAATTTTTCATGCTGCCCTTTGTCTGTTTTGAATGTCACGTCTCTCTTTCAGTCTCCATTGGTCCAGGCTATCTTCAACCGGAACGCAGAAGAAGTGACATTTTTGTTGAACCATAATGATGATGTCAATTCACTGGTAATGGTTTTTTTTTTTTTTGCAAGTTCAGCTGTCAAATTTTCATGCATTATATTATTAAGATATTTATTGAGCTTGTTCAGCTGCATCTGTGATGTAGGCTACTCACCGTGGCTTCCTTGGTTGTCAGCACAGCTTCTCTTCAATTGTAAATTCAAACTTGTGTATGTTTTTTGGTTACTGCTAGTTAATTAAAAAAATGTCAATCAAATATTCTGGGCAATAGTTGAAGAAAGATGAAAGTGCACGTTAACTGCGCAAACATTTGGAGTCACAATATAACAAAAAATATTGAATGTTACGCAATGTTAAGCTGATAAAATAGAGGAACGTGTTTTTCTTTCCTCTCAGGACCAAGACCAAAGCACACCACTTCATGCTGCTGCTTATTTGGGCGATGTCCGCACTATGGACCTACTTATTACTTCAGGTAGAAAACCCATTTAATCTCTCTTTGAAATATGTCAGTAAGTGGAAAGCTCATCATGATCTACATACACGAGATTTTTTTAATTAATCAGCCTTTCTAGTAATTATAACAATGAGTCAATCAAGTGCAGAGGAACTGAACGTTATCCAAACACTCATAAATGAATGACTCACTCTGCTTTCTGTCACAGGTGCGAATGTCAACGCTAAGGACCAGGGGTTGCTGACTCCTTTACATCGAGCAGCTGCCTCTCGAAATGAAGTATGCTACTATCTCAAAACACAGAGGGAGAAGGAGCTTTCTCAGGACTTAACCACCAGATTGTAACGTCTTTGAATTTTTCCTCAGAAAGCCGTGGAGCTGCTACTGATGCACAGTGCAAAGGTCAACACACAGGACAAGCACTGGCATACACCTTTACACATGGCAGCTTCAAAGTGGGCCACGGGCTGCGCTAAGGCTCTGATACCACACGTGTGCAGTCTGGATGTTGCCGACAAGGCGGGAAGGACACCACTGCATCACGCAGCGCACAGCGGTCATGGAGAGGTAACGTTGATAGTATTAACCAAAGTCTTCCTCCTGATGTAAAGTAAAACATCAAAGCTATGTTTGATGCTGAAAAGAAGATTTGCTTTAGGAAAGTGAATGATGACTTTGGGAAGCTTTCTTGTGTGTTGGCAGTTGTTGCAGCACTATGGGGAAAAAGCATTTGTCTAACAATATATTAACTGTGGTTCACACAATATTTGCTCCTCTGCGTAGCCAAAATATAACCAGAGCCCCATTTTAGTAAGTGTTCAAGGATGTTACGAGACTCTTGTAAAGACAAAAGACACAATCCATTGGACTGTAGGCATCGATAGAAACGAGATGAGCTGATAGATGCACTGGTTGACCCACTTATTATGTTCCTGCAGATGGTAAACCTGCTCCTGAGCAAAGGTGCCAATGTGAGTGCCAAAGATGAGACGGAAAGGCAGGCGATCCACTGGGCTGCATACCTCGGTGAGTGGTGTCATTCTCTTGTCATTAATCCGTAAATTATTTTCTGTTTAATCGATTAGTTATTTGGTCTAAAAAAATGTCGACTCGAGTTTCCCAAAGCCCAAGATGACGTCCTCAAATGTCTTGTTTTGTCCACGACTAAAGAAAGATATTACACTAACTGTCACAGAGGAGGAAAGAGACCAGAAAGTATTCACATTTAAGAAGCTGGAATAAGAGAATTTAGACTTTTTTTTCCTCAAACAAATACTCAATTAATTGAATATCAAAATAGGTTGTGATTAATTTAATAGTTGGCAACTATTTGATTAATCGTTGCAGCTCTAAAATAGACTCGTATAAACATTTTTGACAATGTGGCAACCCGGGGGACGTGGAAGCAAGATTCAGAGATAAAACAGGTGACTCAGAGACAGTAACCATGTAACAAAAATGTCCTTTAATAAACAGGGTAGGGTAAAGGGGAATAGGTTCAAACTCAACACAAGATTCCTCCCGGTCGGGATCTTTGGCCTTCAGTCTACACCCAGTGTGAGACGATTCCTCCGTCCTGTTTGGGCAGAGGAGAGAGGTGAGTCCGCTGAATTACCTCCTGTCTGCTGCAGCCCCTCTCAAGAGGTTCAGGAGATCCTCGTATTCTTCTGTCCAGTCTGCCAGCTTGTGCTGCTTCACAGCCCTGTGAACATATGCTCATTCTAATTAGCTCATGGGCTGCAGGTGTGACCACTGCCACGTGCCTAGTGGCTGCAGCACCTGCACTGGATAGTATACTCCCTCTATCACCTCCCCCAACCTGCTGTGCTGTGTCTGCTTGGCTTTTCCCCCTAATTTGCCACAACATACAGCGGTCCAATTTCTGTTAACAATATATGACTGGCTTGGCTTATCAGCACAACCTCAGTCTATTTAAGTTAGACTGGTCGTTGACAAAAAAAAGTCTATCTTAACAGGGTCAAAATCTGGTGAAGTGTTTATAAAAATTGTCTTGTACGCTAACTGTGCTACAGTCTGCAAACAGGAGAGATTGGTGTGCAGTGATGTGTGTGCATGGCAGAGACTTGTAGTAAATGTTAAGCTCTTCTTTCAGGATATGTGGAGGTTGTGAAGCTGCTGGTGTCTCACAATGCGGATGTGATCTGCAAAGACAAATGTGGTTACACTCCGCTCCATGCTGCAGCTGCCAATGGACAGTTAGACCTGGTCAAATATCTATTGAGGCTGGTGGCGGAGGTAAAGTGGCTCTAAGGAAACTCAAATCCTAATATATTATGACAGCTGTCATGTATTGTCTGTACTGTCTGTTCGGCTGTAAAGGGTTTTGTAGATTATTTCTATACGATTGTCTTTGCTTTAAAGTCAGAATGAAGATGTCAGGAAACATCCTGCTCAATTACAGAAACCCAGCAGTCTGTAGTTTCACGTGGTTTGATATAAGATTAGTCCTCAATAACATGGCATCCTGCAGAGCTCCAGCCTTGGTTTCATGTTGGTCCTGGATCATGTCACTAATCATGCTGCAGCCTCATCAGTAATGTGCTTTTTGCTGATGTCACCAACATCTGGTCACATAATTCATCTCTACACTCAACTCACAGCTAAAGCTAATATAAGTTTCAAAATCTCTTGACTCT